GCAAAAACACCCTGAAAAGCACAGAACTGAACACTAAAAGCGACCTGGAAACCTGCTGCAGGCAGGGCACACGTGCAGCCTCAACACGGAATTCCTCTCTTCCCTTCTCTCCTCCACCTTGCTCCCACACCATCCCCTTCCCAGGTGCTTCCCCAGGGTGAGGCACAGCTCTCCCGAGGAAGGAGGAGGCAGAGGAGGCACAGGCTCAGCAGCAGAGACCTGAACTTCCCAAGGCAGCGTTTGGAAGGGCAGAACTCAGCCAGCACAACCCGGCCAGAGAGAATACAAAGTATCTGGAAAAGCGCATGGGAAAAGCTGTTTGGAAAGCGAGAACTCTGGCATCTGTCTGCTCAGAAACACTCTGAGTTAGCCCTGGGGTAACAGGGCACTGAAAAGCCACCACGGGGCAGCTACTCAAAGGCTGCAGAGGAAGGGAGACCCCTCCATCCTCCCTGTCCCCTCCCACCGCCTCCCTTGGCACGGCACAACATTCCCGTGGCTGCAGGGATGTGCCCCTAAGCAACCAGCCTAATAAAAACATGCAAACAGACATAATTCCAGCTGCCTTACTGCCCTGAAAGGCACCTGCGGGACCCAGCAGCGAGGCTGGGGCTGAGCCTTCACCAAAACCACCTCCTGCTGCCACGGAAAGCCAGATTTTACAGCATGCCTTTGGAAAAATCAGCTCTGTGTTCGGGCAGGAGGGGTTTCTCCTGCACAGAGGAAACACCAGCAATGAGACAAAAACTCCTGAGGCTGCTCGACGTTACAGAGCACAAGCCTAGACTTGTTCTGAGTCCTGGATGCAGTGTGATGTCCTGGGTTCGTGGGGGTATTCCAAAAATAAAGCGCCAGGGTAAAGCAGGAAGCTGCAGAACGACTAAGACATGAAATAAAAGACTGATAAAATAACGAGTAAGACATGGAAATGACCCAGCTGCGAGTTATTCCGGGAGGCTGAGAGCCCCAGGAGGCAGATTGCCATGTGTACAGTGGGGATCTCTGATCTCCCACGAACCCCCTGCAGCTCCAAGGGACAGCCCAGTTTCTTCTCCAGTGTCCCATCCCTGCCCTCCCTCGTGTTCTGGCACGCCCTCTCCCGATCCCACATCCCCAGCAGGACCCTGGCACTTATGTTGCTGCAAACAGGGAGGTCTCCGGGAAACCGAGACGCTCCCAGCCCCTCAAACTGTTTTTAACCATTTCCGTTGCATTTCCTCCCTCTTCCCAAGACAGGCAGCCGCACTTGTGTTTCCAGCAAGTCCCGGAGCTCGCTGCAGCTCCCAGTTCCCAGAAAAAAAAAAAAAGCTGTGGAAAGCAGGAACTAGGAACAACACACAAGAAACGGCAAACAGCACCGCCACTGCTCCCCGCTCAACCCAAAACACTGCCACAGGATCCTGCTTTTCCTGCCCAGGACTGCACAGAGGCAGAGCCCACCGCGCCGGGAAGGGCTGGGATCCCGGGGAACGGGCCGGAAACCGGGAAACGGCGGGAGAAAGCCGGTTCCCTGCTCCAGGCGCCCGTCCATCCCCGCTGTCCCGTGCTGCCCGTCCATCCCCGCTGTCCCACGCTGCCCGTCCATCCCCGCTGTCCCACGCTGCCCGTCCATCCCCGCTGCCCGTTCCCGCCGCTCCATGTGCCCGGTGCTCCAGCGGCGCTCGTGGAGTGAATCTGCCGGTGCCTCCCCCTGCGCCGGGGCCGCTTCCACCGGCACCGAAAGCCCCCCCCCCCCCCCCCCC